TCTTATTATTTAATATATATTAAAAAATGTTATCTACTGCATATTCCGACTTGTATTGGCCATCTTTATGTAGTAAAATAGCGAAGGCACTAGTGAAATATATTGCTATTTTTATGTTGTCTTATTGAAGACGTGGATGCAGTTTTCGTTTTATATATATAGTCAGTAATTTTATATTACATAAATAATAAAAGCATAGACTATGGCAGGAGATAACAAATTAAAAAAATATGGGAAGGTATAAAAATATATACAGAAAATAATTGAAGGACGAAATAAAATATGAAGGTGTGCATACGTTGTGATATAGTATATTGTATATGTGTATAGACAGTGTCCCAGTTACTCGCAGAATAATAAACGTAGAGGTATGTATATTTGTACTTGTATAAATTTTATGGTTTAAAAAGTTGTTAAGATGAGGCAGAGAATAAGGAAATAAAACATCGATATGAAAGAAAAAATTGTATATTTTTTATAGAACAGTGTGGAAATTAGTGGTGTTTTGCAGAGTAGATATTTCTGTTATTTTCCTATAAATACAGACGAATTGAATATGCTGGTTTCAGAAAGGTTTGATTATCATAAAATGTAGACGAAATGTTTATTTTTAACTATTAATTTACTCAGAGTTTCATAATTCTTGATAATTAATATAACCAGAATTATTGGCTCTAAAAAATAAAATAGATTTTATTATATGTCTATGGCATTTTCAATGGTACTTAAAAATATGTATTAACGTTTGTCTCAAAGTGAATAAGACTTCATTTTTAAGACGTAGTACCCTATGCACATTGAGTATTTATCTACTGACAAGAGCGACTTTCCTAAATAGTGCAACTTCATGCTTTGTGGGTTATCCAACTTGATAAAGGCGCACTCTCTTTTTCTACCTGAGTCTGCGCTCGTAAAGGAATGGCTGTAGTTTTAGATTATCAATATTATACTAACAGACCCCTTTTATTTTACCAAAAGATACTCATCAATTAATAAGATATGTTTCCACGTGGTATTACACAAGTTTCCTCCGTGGTCCTGAAAGTCTAATGATTTACATGACAGCGGGAATACACTAAAATTTGCTGTCGTCCTCAGAAATTATATGTGAGTTCTTAACAACTCTGTTCATTCTACTTGTATATGCATAGACAGTGAACAGAACAGTAATAAAATTACCATATAACCGCTTAACAGATTAAACTTACATGATGTTCCACTTCCACGGGAGCATGCGCAATAACAGCATGACCGTGAGTGTACCTCACTGTGGGGGCATGAGGTACGGTAGCCACAGGGACATTGTGACCTAAGGAATGACTCTCGTAGACAGGAGCTGCATAACTCGCTATCAGCAAGGTAGCGAATATCACAACCTGCAATGATAAATTAATGCGACACAGATTATGTAAGGAAGCTGAGGTTGAATTATGCTCGTATTGGCTGGTCTTACTAGGATTCGAGAGGACACTGCCTACATTAAGGGACTGTCCCGACATTCGCCGAGAATGTGTGGAAGGCCACGAAACCCCTCACTAAGAATATTCGGTATCCTGACTGGGATTCTAACCTGGTATGTCTCGACTATAAGATAAAAACCTTACCGCTTGAGCTGCCTTTTTCCATCTTCAATTTATAGAATATTAGCAGGGTAATAGTTAATTAAAACTTTTTAGATGATATAGGAGTAGTATTTCATGAAGAAAATCGTCCACAGCCAGAAACACATTCAACCGGTGAAGTTAATTGTTGTAGAATGTATCCACCTTTCCGTATTTCATGCAGGAGTTATATTGGCTTAAATATTTCGCACTCTGAGAACCGGAGACTGATACAGAGGAATTGTTGGAGCCTGCGAAATATAATGCTAACATTCAAGTCATTATTCTAGAGATATATTTCTATAAAGAAATTGAGTAAAATACCTAAATTTGTACATTAAAAACCATAGTATCTTATTTTCTTAAGAGTACTGATTATAAATCTATTAATGTCCTTAATATTTCTGAATTTAATAGTTATTAGTAAATATGCGAGTACAGCACCACTCGTAAGGTATCTGTTGTAGACCAAAATATCACACCTTCTCGTGATAGAGTTTCGTAATATTTATAATTGTCTTACTACATTTCACAAAGCTTGGGAATGTTGGGCAAAGTGTTAAATTTAAACAGGTCTTTACGGTACGTTTTCCAAATGGGTCTGCACTTTCTGTTATACTACTTTAACTATATTACTATTTGTATTACTACCAATCTTCTTCTATCTAGTGCCTTTCATATTTTTTTCCTCCGTAATTTCAAATAACGGCTTGTCATATTAAGTTTCCTTTCCCATTCTCATCTTGCTTTAAACAAATATTATCCAGTATACTTATAGCAAGTGTCACGTAACTTCGAACAAGGCCAAGAGTAAACTTGAATGCGCAGAAGAAAAATTTCGGACAAGNCTCACTTGTACTGTAACATTCACACTTATATATCCTTCTCTCCGCTTTTTCTTTTCCGAAAATTTTAGTAGTGCGTTATTTTCATTATATGACGCTGCCTATCGCTGTAGGGCAGTCGGATTCCCCCAAAAACCGAACACAGTAACCGCTTTTCAAACATTTTCGCAGCGTCATATATTGAATATTCTCTGTGTGTTTAGGTTAAGTTTTAAAGAACAAATTTATAGCTTAGCAAATTTCTTTAACAATTATTTTAAATTAAGATGACAAAGAAATATATTTCCTTGCCAATATTATTTCTTAGACTTGCCTACAACACTATATTTTGTGACTTATAAACATAATTTATTTAATATTAATGTTGTGTTGATTGAGCGCAATTCTTACAGAAGTTTATTTCTGTAAAATTACTTTGTAGCTGTTATCTTCATTGATAAAGTCAACAGAAAGTTGCGTATTAATGACCTACCTCTGTTATTACAGATAATCGTACAGTATCCATTTACATTCAGTTCTTGACAAAAAAAAACAGAACATAACCTCTATATCAGATATATTTATTAATATAAATAAAATTTGGAATTAATATGAGTATTATGAAGCTATCGATGTAATTATTTGTAGAACAGTAACCAAAACAATAGTTTCAAATTGACAATTTTCAGTTGTCGTTTCTTTTGATAGTCTTGAGACAGAACAGAATTCAAGTATAGTTATACAGGCTAGTACATTCCTCGTTCTACCTTCATGAGTGTCATCTCGTGGAGCAAGAAGTTCAGCCGTGTGGGCACTGCTGCTGTTTGCGTCTCCTCCAGTAGATCTGATGCCTTTTATATGCACTGAATCAATGTAAATTATACGTAAGAGGCCGAACCACGCCCCCTGTCTTTGATTTGCATAGATTTTATTGTTTCCATTACGTTCCCTGTTTGGGCATGTTGTATTTACTTCAAACGGAATAAACTTATGCGCTACAGAACACGCCATTCGTTCAAGCGAAACGAACGGAGTATTGTGTTCCTGCTCCTACTTGCAGGAGACGGAGTTTTCTCTTATCGGCGTGCACTATCGCTCGTGCCCAACAATGAATGAGTGAATGAACGAATAAAACATAAAAACTTCACCTTTAACTTCAAAATTAATACACATACATGGGGTGAAAATAAATCTGTAGGAATATGAAATATTTGTCTCCTACAGTTCCTTCTCTTCCTTTTCAGGAGACCAGTATCATAATACAGAAAGTAATCTATAGTCACCACTAGTAAGGTCTGGAAGTCTGTGGCGATGGTATATCAATACAATTATTGTGTGTGTTATGTAATTCTGCTTCCTGTTTTTATATAAAACACACGTTTCGGAGAATGGACTCTCTCCGTCCTCTTATGATCTCACTCAATAAGACCCTTTCAATATAGCTAGACTCTTATCTCCGGTTATAGGGACTCGATCTATCGAATGGGCCCGACTGAGTACGTCCCACCTGAAGACGGAGACAGAATCCAGTCTCCGAAACGTGTTTCTTTATATAAAACAGGATGATAATGTACAAAACCACAAATATTTTACAGCCACCGTCGTTTTATAGCTAGGCTAGTGCATACTGTTTAATATTTAAAAGACTTGCGAATATAAGCAGCAACAAATATGACACTCACTCAGAAATCCAACACCTACTCTCGCCGAAGAAAGGTCCCTTTTTCCAAACTCGCAAATGGTCTTGAACAAAATCTGATCATAAGTCGCTACCGGGGTCCGAAATCAAGAACAACTCTGCTGGCGAAGGCCAACAGCAATGTACTGCTATTTATTTTACTTACTTACTACAAGAAGGGTAGCAGAAAAGATATGCGCTATTATATTTTTCTCTTTTGTAACCATAATGTAATAGAAGAAATAATTTGATATGTTTCATTTTGGTCCGTCACACTACTAAGTTTACAATTAAGTTTATTTCAGTCCAATGTGACGTATAAAGCCTTCACCACTTCAGCACTTAGTTACCTAACATGTTTCGATTCTTAATGAATCATCATCGGAGGTATACCACTACGATCAGGAACCTACCAGTACATAAATATTTTTATAAGACTGTATACATTTAAAACATTTATGATGCTCACTATATGTAGTTGTTAATTTCATTGTCGAAATAGATGTTTGACGTAAACTTTTATAATAAGAACATTCTTGAAGTATATTACTTAGAAGTTACGTAGTTGCAATCACTTCCATAAAGATTATTTAAAAATGTAATTTTCCACTGCACTGTATATAAAATTCAATTTGTTTCACCACAGCAGCCTTCCTTTACGTTAAAATTATGTTATGAATGCGTATAAAAACTTATTTTTAAGTTAAGAAATTTTTTCGTGAACCAATGTGGATTATGTTTTACCTTCCTTGGTAGTGGAATTGTCATCTATCCCTCTTGGTGATGTGTTCTTGTTATTACTGGTGTAGTTTATATGCGTGCTGTGTTGCTTGTACTAGCAATAATCCCTTAAAGCCTGCAACCCTCTTTAACACTCCGTTTATTCATATTTTGCAGCAGAATACTTTGAATGTAAATATGGATACCACCCAACTTCTTATCCAGTGGGTATCTGGAGTAACCGAGTGGTTAAAGTGGCCGGGGCATGAAGCAGACCACTCACGTCCATGTAGTGAGGAAGTCAGCTGTACTTTCACTCCCCGTAAGTTTTCATGCTACAGTGCTTAATTACAGAGAGGAGCTTCATAACTTGGACTCTTCTCCAGGTGTAATTTGAATGATGAAGACAAGGAAGATGAAATGGGCAGGGCATGTAACACGAATGGGGGAGGACAGGAGTTAATGTAGGATAACGGTGGGAAAGCCGGAAAAAAGAGACAATTGGGAAGACCAAGACGTAGGTGGGAGCGCAATATTAAAATGGAACTTAGATAGGATGAGATTGGATGGATTGGATTGATCTGGCTCAGGATTTAGAGCAGTGGAGGTTACTTGTGAATACGGGAATGAACCTTCAGGTGCCATAAGATGCTGGGAAGTTCTTGAGTAGCTGCACAATTTGCATCTTCTCAAGAAGGGCTCAGCTCGATGAGTAAGTGATATTCTTACTCAATATTACCCAGTGTAGGGAAGGATCTGTTAAACTAATAGCGAATGTAACAGACCTGATGATGGCAGAGAGGTCGAAACATATAGTAGCAAATCCTGTAGAAAAAATTGAACGCCTTCTAAGATTATCAGTGGGTGACGGGAGTTCCGTGTCTTTCAGCATATCAACCAAATAAGAGAATTATACGGCATGAGTAAATCTCATGATATATCGATTTTCTGAATCGATTCAACGAGACTATAAAGCATCGATGATAAGATGATTAATGACCTTGGCAGAGGTTGTAGGATGAGAGTTCTTAGTGTCAGCCGAAGTACTGGAATACACGCTGTCCAAAATAAATAACGCATTATCTAATCTATGATGTTCGTTTCCGGGTCACCACTGCAGGAAACCTAAGCTATGCTACGACAAAATCAAATACCGATTCTAGTGTCTTTTCCGTAATAATTACTTGAATGTGTTGATGCCAGCAAGCTGTAGAATAGATCACAGGAATGGCTGCTTCAGTGAACAGAGTCACAACAAGAAGGAGGTCATTACCGCCTCGCCTGGATAAGCGTGTCTGTTCTGATCGCTATTAAATAAGGAGCAGCATGTGTCTGTGTGCTCCGAGGAGGGAGAAAGGGAAAGCGTACCTCTTTTCTTGCTCGTGTACAAAAAGGAAAACTTGTATAGCTGCAATTAACAGCTCGGTACTTGCTACTTACTACACGGTAACATTCCTTCCAGGCCGCGCGTTATGCTCCGTCAGTCTGCAATGCAGTAAACATATTAGCTCCGCACGCACGCACGCACGCACGCGCGCGCGCGCACGCACACACACACACACACACACACACACACACACACTGTACCTAAGTCTCGTAACCATGAAGGAGTAGCAGAGTAATATAGGCATATTAATTACTTAACTCGTTGCTCTGAAAGTGAGATTGTCTCTGCGTAGTTAATACATGAATATGCATTAATGTGTTTAGTGCTTCAGGTTGCTCACGTTAAGGATTTTTGTTTAGGGTCTGAAATGCGCGAAAAGGTTTGAATTCTTAATGGATGGAATACGTAAATTATAAGTTAATCTGTCCATATACCTGCCCATCTAAACATTGAGTTTTCTCTGCACAAAATGAAGTCGACATTACATAATCCCCAAACTAATCTTCACAATCTTTCCGCATATCGCTGTCCATTTACGCAACAACCTACATATCTGTCATCCTATTTGGTCAACTTATGTCTTCTGGCATAAAACGTCGTATTTTCCGTTGAAAGTTCACCGATGTTTCTGAGAAACATATTAACTGCTTATTCAAATTTGAGATAATATATTGTTCCGAAACGTCGGGTGACTTTCAACGGAATATACAATGTTTTAACCTAGAAGATAGAACTGTTTACAGTGGCAATTCTGACAGCCTTAAATCTCAAAATCTATTTGTAAATTCGGTCATCTATCTATTTATCTCTGAATATCTGCACATGTCTGTTCATCTGTTGAGTATATTAGTCCTCCTTACGTACACACCGGCTTCGTTACAAAGACACCCACTGGAATAAAATTCTGCTTAGGGCAGGGCAGTGAAAGGTGCTGTACGTTATTCAACATTATATAATGCATATAACATTAGAACGTATTTAAAACACAGACATTTAAAAACTTGGTGGCCAAGTTCGGATGTCTAAAATGTTGAACAGATCAGTTTCTGCTAGTCTTTAAGGCATTATAAGCAAACAAGTTTCTATTAATTTATTATTATTACTGTTTGGTTTTTATATTTAATTTATGTCGGGTCTATTCACGGGATTGTAGAAGTAATGTTTTTAACTAGATCCACGCTGGATAGCTCAGTCAGTATAGCGACTGGCTACGGGCTGGACGACTGATGGGTCGGAGTTCTAGTCCCGGTAAGGTCAAGAATTTTCTCTCCTCCACGTCTTCCAGACCGGCTCAGAAGCACATCCAGTCTCTTATCCAGTGGGTACCTGGAAGTACTTTCCCCGAGGGTAAAGTGCCTGGAGCCTGAAGCTGAGCACTCACCACCAACTAGTGCCGACGTCAAGAAAATGTGCATCTATACATCCACCCCCCCCATACGCGTTCAAGGCGTAGTGCTTAATTAGTTAAGTACAGGGACAACTAATCTTACGTGCCGACCATGTTCATCGGTTTCAGTATCGTTCATATCACACCTGAATCTTCTTCCTCGTGAACTTGGCTATTTATTGTAAGTAATGTATGAGGCTGTCATGTGTGTGCACAAAGGGGTTCGTGGTGATTCATAAAAGTTCACATGTTCATTTTGTCAGTAAAAGTAAAAACATATTCAGGGTTGAGTTACTTAACATTTCTTATTACATATTTATTGTTTATTTTTTATCTGTCCATCTACCTGTACATCTGT